TATCTATATATATATATACATATACAAATACATATAATTACATATATATATATCTCTGTGTGTTTATGACTCATCAAACACAAGCATTGTGTATGGTGATTTCAATGCTTCAATTATATGTTGCATAGTAGCACCACAGTTCCGGCTAAACACACAGATGAATCGTACATTGTACGCAAGAATAGCCAACGCAACCGTTTAATCACACTGCAGCTCGTAAGCCACACCTGAATGCTTTCCTAAAGCTCTCACTTCCCATTATTCCTCATAGGAAGGCTAATATTCTACTCCGCTGGCCTCACACGAATCATATCCGGTGTTTCGTTACAGTAACCCTCTTCGTCTACTTAAACTAACCACATTCGTCCTCGATCGTTACCCCTTATATAGCGAAATATGTCCTCTCCATCTATGTACGGCCTTTCTATAATTTGGACTCATTCATGTTTACTGAATCCTACACCTGCCCAGTGCCATCATGGCCCCCCATACTAGGCAGGTGTCCGTTATTCTTAGAGCCACCAAGTGTGTGTAGGTTTCTCGTACTAGCACCGCCCCAGGTGTTTGTGGTCCCTCGAACTGGGTACACGCTTGCTACAAATAGACCCGCCTTCTATTCCCCTGCCCCCAAATATAGGCATATGCTTATTACAAATTAATCGGCGTGTTGTGTCGCCTCAAGTAGGTACACGCATACTATAAGCCATACCCGCCCAGTGCCTAGGTACATGTCTATTTTTAGTCGGACCTACAAAGTGTCTCCGTGTCCCCGAATACTTATAAGTTACACCTCTCCCCTCACACTAGGTATATGCCTACTATAAGCTGGAAGGTTCTGGACTTGGGGATCTACCAGGCTCCGTCGGTGTACTCAAAGCGCTGTTATCCGATTCGCTCTCACTGCTCGTATTCGTGGGGAATGAGCCGCTCCGCGACACCTCGCGTGCCTGCTCCAGTAAAGCCTCGAACACCAAGATATCGCCGTCTCTGCTGCTACTGCTAAGACTATGGTCCATTGATTCCGAAGCTGTTCTGCCTGCCGTTACACTATCGGCTGGATATACACCACCACTCGCCGTCTCAAATACATTGGCTACGTTTGCATCGGTCAAGCTGTCGACACTTGCGGAGGTACCTAACGTGTTCTCTGTCTGCAGTTCATCCGTAACAGCGGATCTCTCCGTGTCACTCTCCTGCACTTCAGCTTCATTGTACGATTGAAACTTCCGCAACTCGACCCCTACGTCGCCCACACTGTGGTCGTTGAACAACCCCATACCGCCACTGCTTTCACTGGCTATGCGCAGCCTGCGAGGCGACGTGGCTGATCGGATGAGCACTCTCGATGTGTCCATGCTGTGGTCTGTATTGATTGTGGCCGTGCTTGCGCTGATATGTCTCTGCATAGGGGAGGTGTGTGCCTTTGGCGGCGAGGACGGAGCGCGATTGAAGCGCAGCCGGCTGTATGACTTCAGCAGCAGTTGTTGCTGAGCGATCATGTTGTGGTGTTTCTCTAACTCCCGGCTTCGTGGGGATCCAGTAGCACTATTGGTACTTGCCTGTCGGCTTATGGCCCTACTTGAGTTCGAAGTCACGCTACTCTCGCTCTCGCCGTCCGTGCCGTCCGAAACAGTCTCTGTCGTAGGCAGGACGATGCGATTACGCAACATACTCATCTGCGGTAGGGGGGAGGAAGCGTGCATGTGGGTACTTGCATGGTTGATAGGGCTGTACTTTGGGCTTGTCGGCGAGAAGCGCTCTGCTGAGCTACCCGCCTCACTGCGGTGCCGGGCGGCACTGCTGGCCATAGTACTAGCACGAGGCTCTATAGTGATACTCGCGCTTGCCTGGCGAGCTGGAGGCGACCCACTCAGTGGTACCGAATTCACACGCGTAAACGACCATGCTGAGTTGTCGGCATATGGAAGCGCACTATCGGAATTCGGGGCGCACAATTCCTTGGGTCGATCAGAATATATACCGGTATGCAAGGGGTCCTCTGACATGTGGTCTGGGTCGGCATCCTGGACACCTTTGGCCCCACGCATGATGGTGCTAACGCCCGAACTGAAGATGGAGTTTATACCTGCACTCACCGCGCTCGCTATAGCGTTAACTGCTGAGTCGGAGGATATGCTGCCCCGCCTATCCTCGAGACGTCCCACAAGATGCGCATCTGGTATCTCAAACTCAATATCGCTCCCCCTTGCACCAGCGCGAGCGTTGTTTGCGGCACGAGCGCTATCCGTGGCTATCGAACGCCTCGTTGCACTCTCCGACGAATGCGCGTCTGTCGTGGTATTCGAGGGGGCTCTCCGATGAGTTGGCTGGAAGGTATCCGTAGCAGCTTTCCCCACACTCTCGCTCTTGTGCAAAGCGCTGGACTCAACACCCTCCTCGTCACTCTCGCTACTCGCAGTCGTCTCTGACCTCGGTGCTGCCGAGTCGTCCTCGTCTCTGGATCGGCTCCTATCCCGCTGGGCTGGTGGCTGGTCCTGTTTGGCCTGGCGTGTATCCCATGGTTGCTGCTGTGTTGCGGTTCCCTGCGGAAGGTCGTGGGGTTGTTGGTGGTCGAGGGTCTTCTGCTGCTGCTGCTGCTGCAATTCCTGCTGCTGTTCGTGCTGCTGCTGCTGCTTGTGGTGCAGTTGTTGCACCTGGTGGTGCAGTTGCACCTGTTGTCGGTGCTGTTGCTGGGCCGACTGTCTATTGGTCGGGCTCCCTACACTCAACCCGGTTGAGCTGCTGGGTAGCAGCAATGTCGGCACACGCTTCTGATTGTAGGCATGGGGTGACCGTCTCGTGTTCTGTCGTTTGTCCTTCATTTGCTGCCGTTGTTGTTGTTGGTGCATTTTCAGCAGCTGCTGATGGGTAAAGGGCCCCGCAGTCTTCACTGACGGCCCTTCGTCAGTTCCGCCACTAGCAGGAACACTCCCACCACTCTCAGCCGCACTCTTCTCGTCACTCAGTAATTCGCTATCGCCTAAATCCTCGTCTTCGTTCAGACTCAGCGCATTACTAAACCACGTGCTCAGCCTACTAGCCAACGGTGGTCGTTTCGCAGGCACACTTGTGCCCTTGGCTGTAATCAGAGGCTTTTTATGCAGCACCTCAGCGGTTCCCGGCTGTCTCTGTTGGCTTGGTCCCAGAGCGCCAGACCTCCTCGCAGTGAGCGACCGTTGCCGACTAACGAGCTTCTTAGTCGGGAAGTTCAGGTCCATCTCAGCCACAAGCACTCCCTGCTCGCTCACGCCTTCGCCGTATGCATTGGCAGGCTGCCCGGCCTCCAACAGTTGCTGCTGCTGCTTCTTCTTGCGCTCACTCTGCTGCAGTTTGTGGCCGCCCTTGTTGTTGCCTCTGCTGGCACCGGCGTGATTCGCATCCTGGTGCACGCCGAGTTGTTTCTTTTGGCGCAGTGTATGCGTACCATGTTGTCCGTGAGCCCTGGGCACCTCAGAGACCTGCTCCTCGTGGATCAGAGGACTGTGTCTGTGCGGTATATCACCATCGCTTGCCGCACCCATTGCGAGGCCTTCCACCACATCCTCCACCACTGAGCCGGGTGGCATCCGGTCTTCCGGCTGGGACGGGTACATTGGCGATGGTCTCAGACCATCTTGTGCAACAGACTCCTTCGCGGCTAGATCCATAGCCCGAGTGCTCAGTGTTTCGCCGAAGCTTTCATCGCCGCTGGTGTCTATCTCCCTATTCCCTTGGGGCTCACTGTGGAATGTACGCAGGTTCGTATCTGAGCTCGCGCCCGAGTCTGTAGACTGGCCGCTCGTGTCTGTGTCTGCATACATATTCGTCTTACTTGCGCTCTGTCTTTCCTCGTCCTCCTCACCCCCCACCCCATATCCATCCAGCCCCACCCGGTCCATATTGGGGGTACCCAATAACAACATTGTGCCCTTATACTCCACCGCCAATTGCTTCTGCAGGTCGAGGCACTTCGGCGCACAATCCACTACCGCGATCGGAGGCACCATGTCTATAGCTCCCAGCGGAGGTAACCTGGCCTTCCGAGTCAACGGGGCTCCCGGTTTCCTCTTCCTATTCCCGCCCCCACTGTTATTCTTGGTCATTTTGGTATTGAAAACCCTGGCAAACCCTGTATCGAAGGGCACCCCTTGCTGCCCCAGTGTCGAATATGGTTCCTCGGCCTGGCCGTCGCCCTTCTCCTCTGCCTTCACAGCAGGTCCTGATGATGTGCCTCCCAAGCTCACTACACCAGGGCCGTTCCGAATGAATTTGCGCTTATCACTCCTGCCTCGACCCAGCTGCTGCTTGTTTTGTCGCGCAATGATCCGCTTGATCTCTTTGGGCGTCATACCTGGCTGGATACCCCCGTTGGCATTCTTGCGATTGGTAAGGTCTATAGGACCGGCCTTCATATCGCGTCCAGGAATGGGGTTCTTCTTGGGACGTTTAGGTTGCCGCCAATTGTTCGAGAGGAAATCCATCACCACAGGATCTGCGGCCAAGCTGGGCACATCCAGCAGCTTGTGGATGTACTCGTCCAGTTGTTCACACCGTTCATACTGCAAGAAACATAAACCAGAACGGATGTTAAAAACAAACCTACGGAGGTCATTAGACATTGATCTCTCTATGCGTACGAACAATGTCAGAAGTGGAGTAATCTAACTGAAAATTGAAATAATTGTATTTCACTGGTATAGAGAAGCAGCCTATTGCAGTCTTATGCAACGAGAAACGTAACATCGAGATATTGAGTGGAAAACTGACAGGTGATAAGGTGCACCTGAAACGGAACGCATGATTGATTGTGGAATGACTGCTATATCTCCACCCGTACGCATCGATGTTGCCAAGAGAAATATAAAAAATCAGCATGCGTACCGGGACAACCAATTTAAACACACAAGTGAGCGAACAGGCTGAGCACGACACTCGAAGGAAAACATTACCAAGTATGCGGGGTCGAATTTTTTCCTCTTAAAGATTCGTTGGGGGGGCAGTTTCACACCGGCTAATTCTTCGCTACTATGCGTGTGGCCTAACAGGCCATGTACATTTTTGAAATCATTGAATCTTCGATGTATGGTCCAATGCCGGTTGCCAATTTGTACATTCTGATATTAAGAATGAAAAGATATAGTGTATTAGGATCCGGAAGAGCAAAATAATAAAATTGTGTGCCAAAACAAAAAATCTACAATAAGTACAAATAAACAATGTATATATATATGCATAAAGTGCTTCATATTTTTAGTACGCAAACAAGAAAGTACATACATACATGCATACATACATGTATATGTTATTTATATATGCTATATATATAAATATAAAATTAAAAA